TTGTGAGCTCACAATGCAAACGGCTCTCTTGTGGATGACTGGAAAGCAGAAAGCCGATTTTAGACTTTGACACTCATGGAATCTACCAATGACATCCTGGAGAGCTTGGATGATCTTCACGATCTTCATCTTCAACGCCACTCATTTACCGGTCTATGGTCTTAGTTGATTCTTGGTGTTGCAGACTCGTCTATTTTAGTGAACAAATGCCTAAACTTTGATGTTATCGGCCAAAGTGGGGAGCTGACGTCCACCCCCTTCGCTGCATGACTCTTTACTTGTAAATCGGACGTGCATGGTGACAGTATTGCTGCCATTGTGATGTGAAGGTGCCGAAAAGAAGAAGAAGGAGATGAGCGAGCAGAAATCGGCGCTGGTTGAGGCGATGGAGAAGAAGCTGACCGCCCTGTTGGACATGGAGGAGGCACCGAGCAACATGGAGGAGTGGCGACCCGACGACGGAGAGGCAGAAAAGGTGTTCAGGGAGCTGCGCAAATGGGTGGACACCTCAGAGGTTGCATACGCACAGCTCCACGCGAGATATGAGGCGAGAGCTGGCAGGTGGGCCCTCTGCTCGTCACTGTATGTTTTCCCAAGGCGCTGGTAGACAGCCTCTGATTCGCTGAAATGTGACAGATTCTGCTCTTGCACCTGTGAGACGATGGTAGGAACGATTTCATCGCCAAGGTGACCTCACAGCTGATGCAAAGACGGACATGTTGGTGTAATTTGTGTGCCTGGCCCCCTTGATTGACCCTTGGCCGTCCCCTTGCCAGATGCTAAGGATCCATTGCAACGAAGAAGAGAGGCAAAAGAAACATGTGAAGGAAAGAGCTCCTATTGGAACATCTGCGCCCGTGAACAGTACCTGGCATCGCCCGACTGGGCCAAGGGCAGTGACTTGTCACGTTAAACGCGCACAATCAACACCAGTTCATGCAACAGACTTGCAACCTATGTTCGAATGTTGAACACCTATTCGATGCCAGTAGTGCACTCAACAGACGTCAGTTCCTCTTGGTGTGCTTGTTGCAGGTATGGCGAGGCCATCAAGGCACTGGACAAGATCATAGCATCGGACGACAAGCCGACGCCCAGGGACGTGTTCGAGATGAAGATTGATTGTTTGAAGGCCTTGGGCTGGGCGCACTGGGAGGCACGAGAGCGAGCCACGCTGCACGTGAACTACCCTCCGGACTACGCCCTCTTTTGAGGGCAGGCGCATGAAAGGAGCGACATTAACGAACGACGCTCCGTCCCTCGTTGTGGTCCCTCTCCAGGATTGTGGCGGCCAAGACTAATGGTTGCGCTTTGAAGGGCCCAAAGGGCAACTGGTTGTGCGTTGGTTGATGTTGTTCCTTCTCTTGAGGACTGCAGCGATGCGATGGCTCTGCGGCGAAAGGTGGATAGAGTTCTGGTGAGCTTCAAATGACCGCGGGGCAGTGGGATGGCATGTGTGCAGAGTGCAGACTAGCATGAGGGAGCTGGCTGCAGGGGGTGGGGATTGAGAATCTAGAGTGGAGGGCTGGCCCTTGCATCCGCAAGACTTCCTGGTGGCCAAGATGCAGGCTTCCCATGTGGATGGGCATTGTGGGTGCCAAATGCTGAGTGTAATTGTTTTATGAGTGTGACCATGCCAATTGTGAATAGAGTGTGAACTGCACGGAGGCACCGCAGCTGCATTCAATGTCTGCCCGAGGACTTGGTGGGGCTGAAGCCCTTCAGAGCAGCACAGCCATTTTCGCACGAAGTGGGCGAAAGATGCTGTACTTGGCACTCGGTACTCTGGCCAGAGCACCAAGTGCCAAGTGCTAAATCTTGTTTGCGAAGTGGAAACAGGCCATTGCCTTATTCCTACCATGCTCGAAGGGGATGCACATCGGTGATCGGCGGTGTTAAACCGTACTGTGCCTTAATTGTGCCGTTTACATTTGTACGGGCGGCCTCACAGCTTCAGCACAAAGGCCGTGGGTGCCCGCTCGGAGCTGGGGCTGGGCGTTCAACAGCGCAACTTGCAGGCGTCCGTCAAACCATGGCAGACGCGCAGCATGAATACCCTTGCGGCGCTCCCTGTGTCGCATAGCCCGGGCTCTCCTCATGCGGATGATCCCTTGGCATGGGCTTCCAAATCCAGCACAATTGGTCAATGTCAGCTTCAATCAGTAATGCAACGCGGGGGCTATCTGAATCTGCCCGTGGGAACACTGTCCCGCGCACAATGGCACGCAAAGCTGACCATATCTTATAACCAGCAGGTCGTTTGGCGTTTCGCTGCTGATGCAACCTTCTGCTGCTCTTCGACAGCAAAATGCAATCCTAGAAACGCACTGGGATGGCCTGGTGTGTGTGCTGTGGCGACTGGTGCGACCCTAAATTGGGTGGTCGCAGAGCCTCCGATTATTTGCCCAGAAACATGGGAATACCAATACGGAATCATGTGAAACACTGATCTCGGAAATTCGGGATGGGTGGATCCGACACCAGAACATGAGGGCGCTGTTGAACTCCACCAGCCATAATGGCCAGCAGAATCTCCGGATGTGTCTCGCAATGGAAGATGTAAGGGCTCTGTCTGCTAATGCATGGGGACCCACCGGTAGTACACAACAGCCGTAGATGGTCATGTATCCATGGTCGCAACATCCAACCCCCGTTGATGGCACAACGACCATTCCACATGCCGATGTTCACCATTGGAACCACGCATAACCCTCTCCCATACTCACGGCAGCTGATCCACATCGACAGCCTCAGCTCCGCGTTCTTTTGGGAATGTATAGAACGATGAAGAGGGCCCCCCTTGCGCGGATTGGCTCCTCACGAAACGCCGCTTGTCACAATGACGATGACCAACAAAAATAGCAGCGACGGCAAGGCGAAGATTCAAACGGGGTGGCAAACGACCCAATGCCAACCAACCACACAAATACGCTTCTAAAAGCTCTCACAGCTGCCGCTCAAAGCGCCTATACCGGTCACAACTGCTGTTCAATGGTCGGCGAAGTCAAGACGCAAGCCAGGCCCACGGGTCACGGATGCCTTGTCCACAGCACGTCGGGGTATGACACTGAAAACGCCTCTCTCGGCCTCGACAAGGCTGTGCAGCAACGGAGCTTTGCAAGTTCTGGCTGGCAGCTAGACCACAGTGGAGGTGCTGGTCTTGAACGGCAAGGAAACGGCCTGAAAAATCGGCCCAGACTGGCCGTCACATTCAAAAAGGTCGAGCGCGACTGTGCTCAGGCCATGGCGCACGCGGCGCGCACAACCAGGGGAGTCAGGCAGCCAGGCCGCAAGCCTAGACCGCCGCGCGAGGCACTGCGAGACCACACGCAGTCGTTGTTACAGCTGCCATGGTGAAGTCAACAATGCGTCGACCCCTTCGGCGCCCTTCGCGCCCTCCATATCACCCACCAAGGCGTCCGACATTAGATGTAGGAGATTCTAGGGAGATTCTCCACAAGACCCCCTTCGTGGGAAAGTATCTTTTGATTCACCGAAATATTCCTGTCACAGCCCCGTTTCACCGCAATTCGATCCGGTACACCCCACGTCACTCGGTCAACAGCCACAGAATGCCCCGCGGGTCATATTCCCATCACCCAGCCACGTGGCGCCTCCACGCCCTTCCTGGCTCCGTCTCATCGCGCTCCGCAGTCAGACCGCGACGGGCCCAGCCCCCGTCCATCATAAACGGGGGTCCCGTTCATAAAGTACACTGGTCCGCCAAATCGTGGCCAAAACAACGTCTGCTGACGCACTTCCTGAGTAAACGCCTTTTGAAAACTTCTAAATGAAATGTGGATGACATAATTATGTTGCAGAATTGACTTGCAGCCAATCGATGCTTTCAAATCCAAATTTAGATCAACCTTCACAACACTAATTTGTTGAGTATATGCACTCCCTGATTGATAGCTTTGGGATCTGTCTGCCTCATTGTGCACCAGCCTGTTGAATGATGATCAGGTTAGTGATGGTTCTGACTTTTTGACACTGCCTTTCCCCACTTCTGGACCTCACGGGTCGCCACTTGAGCAGTACCATTAAGATACTAATTTTTCTGATGATTCCCATTGTTGGCGACCCGAACAGTGCCAAATTGGATTGATGTTCACGTCCATTCAATGTGTTTTTGAAGCACAATTAACCTTGGTACTTCGAAGTACCGTAGTTCACGGAGGATAGCGCCCCCCCTGCGTTGGGCTTCAGAGCTTTTGCCAAGAGCGCGGGGGTGATCTTGTGTGCCCCCGCGCTTTCTTACGTGCCCCCTGCGTTTCGCGTCACGCCAATGATCACCAACTGCCCACATCGCCGCATTGGACACCAGACGAATTTAACACAATAAATACCAGTCTAAAGAGGACGCCGGCCATGGTAAAGTGGGAGGACGTCATCGCAACGTTCCTGAGACTTCGCGCACTCCATCGCTGCATCTTTTGATAGGATCTTTTCAAGGACGTGTCATGATCATGGGGGTTGCAAGAACGCCACGCTATCTGACATTTTCCCCGCGCCCGGCAGCGGCGGCCATATGGCGTGCATGTTCGATAACGCAGGGGGAGTTATCTAAGGGACCCCGTGCTATTCAACACCCCCCGCGCCATCCTCCGTGATCTACGGTATTGCACAACGGGCTCAGGTTCTGCTCAAATTTTCATTTCTTTTCCCGTCGTGGCGCGTATGGTGCACAAGCATCCAAGGGCGTTGAGGAACCGAGCAGAAACTCAGCCAGGAAGCACCAGCCGACCGCTGCATTCCCAGGTTTTAGCAAATCGCCGTTTCCGCCGCACTTCGGGTCTATTTCCTGGATTATCGCGCGGGGTGAAAAGAGGGCCCAAAAAAATTCTGGTGGGGTCCTTGACGACGCCTCCGCGCCCTCGGGGCCAGAATGCCGCCAGGCCATGGCGACGCTCCACGGCGCCAACGGGGGCGCCGGCCAGGCGGAGCTGGCGCACCCGCTGGCCGCGGTGGTGCCCAACGTCCAGCCGGCGCCCCTGACCATGGACCCCGGGTGAGCATCCCCGATCCCCTACCCACCAGCCTCCGCCGATCGCGATCAGTCCGTCGCCGCTCCGCGTCCGTGCAAGGATTGCGGGCAGGCGGGCGGCGGCGGGACGCGATCCCGGCGCGTCGATCACGGCCGTCGCATCTGCCCGCTCGCCCGTTTGCCCCCTCGCGCTCGTTCGGCGATGGTCGACCGGTCGACGCCCCCACCTTCGCGCACCGCCTCCCACCAGTTTCAGGATGTTGCATCCGACGCCTTCTGCCACGCTGTTCTGTTCTGAAAGTAAGTCGCTATTGGCCGTCTCACCTGGCAGAAATGCAACAGTGGTGCCGTGTTCGAGCGCGGCTTTCGCTGCCTCCGGCTCTCAAAAGATGCCGGGCGCCAGTTCCACGCAGCGGGGCTCGATGCCATTTCCGCACATCGCCGCGCCGAGGGCGCCTGGGCCTGGATCGAGGCCGGCCTCCGGGCGCGCCGCAGGGCATCAATGCGGTCGTAGGACCGGCTGCGCCGGGTGGATCTGATCGCCTTCGCCATTCCCCTCGCCCCAGGCGCTTCCTGGGCTGTCGCGCAAATCTCTGTCACCCGCGACGGCCTCCAACTTCGCCTAAGATCGGCACCGCAACGCGAGTTGCGCTGGCGCCCAGCTTGGGGTTGGCTTCGCGCCTGTGTTTTCTAGGCTCGGCCATCCCGGTGATGCGTGTTTGCCCGGCGCCTCCCCGGGCCCGGGGCGCCAAGTGGATGCACAGTTCGGAATCCAGTTTGGGACGGTTCCCCTTGCCCCCCGAAATCTGTCGTTCGATCTTAATTCTCCAGCCGGGGGACGCTGGCGTCGGTAGGGGTGCGAATGGGATTGGGGGCCGCCTTCCGCCGGGGACGACTGGGGAATTTCGTGGGAGGGCCGGGTGGCGCTCCACCTGGCGTGCGTTCTTGTTGGCGGTGGTTGTGGTGATGGTGGTCCGGCGCGTCAACTGCGAGTTGGCGAGGCGGAGGCCCGCTCTTCCACTGCACAAGCGGGAGACAGAGCTGGGAGACAGGGACGAAGAAGGGCACAGGGAGACGGCGCACGGCGGGCCAGAGTGGTGTGTGTCCGTTGCGAGTATCGTGATGCCCTTCGCTGCAAAGGGGCAAGCAAATCACACCTGCACGACATCGTCCCCAAGGCCTTCACCAAGCATCTTAGAGTGGCGTGTCCATGTCCAGCCTCGGAACAGCGAGAAAAGCAAGGAGTTGTTGTTGTTGTTGTTGTTGATGATTATGGTGATGGCGTTCATTACAAACGTGCCAGGCTTTTGAATTCCGCTGAAACATGTGTGGTCACGCCACTCGAGAAGGAGCTCAGGGACAGAACAGGGGTCGTGCAGGAGAGTTGTTGCTGTTGTCAATCAGGACCACAAGGAGCGTCAGGACTAGAAAGTGTTTTGTGTCCTTCCTATGCAGTATCTCCGAGCGGGTACCCTCCTGTGGCCGCATTGCGTGGATCGACTTGTGCATGGTGGTATGAAACAGAGCAGTGCAGCATTGGGCAACCAGTGAGCGAGATCTGAAACTGGAAAAGGATCATGAATAATTGTCGCATAGGGTCGCATGTGGCCACATGGGGTCACATGGTCCCACTTCAGCACCATGATCCACGACTCGTTCGGTGGTGGGTAGAGCTACTGAGCTCTTGAGATCAACCAATAAGCAAGATCTTGAATCAATGGCTCACATGAGCGTTTGTGGTACTGCAGGTGCGTTGGCAATGTCATGGGCAGTGATGGTGACCCCGGGGAGTCACAGGCATTGAATGTAGCCAGGACTCTGGAGGGCATGGGGTGTACAGTGTTCTATGAGAAGCCTCTCACGACCAGTGATGCCAATGGGTCAGGGAGGGTGGTCATACCCAAGGTGGGCACTGTTGCGTGTCTGCCTTATGCCACTTGGAGGCTTGTGCATCTACTCTCCTGTTGGGAAAAGAGTCTCTCCCTGTGTTGATCAGGAGGGGGATGCCTGTTGTGATTTTGTCCCCAGCTTGGAAAAGATATGGTTTCTGTTGCCCAGTGTGGGGACCAAATCGTCTCAGTGAAAATGCAGTGACGACTCCAAAGGGTGTAGTGAAGTTTTCCTTACTTTGCACTTGTCATTGGTCAACAATTCTTGTTCTTGAGCCTAAAGTTTGACAAAGGGAGGTGGTGGAGACCAGGGAGTAGAAGCAACAATTGGAGAGGCTGCACATATTGGGACTGTCTGTATGCCAGTTTGCACACTGACATAACAACTGCTCCCAGCAACCTTTACATTCCATGCAAAAGTCGTCTTTTGTTGTGATTGCTCCAAGACTTTCCGAGGTGGTGATTCAGTTCCGGCTGATTGCAAACTCTGTCTTGAGCTCAAGGCGGCAAAGAGCATCCACATTGTGTTTGTCGCAGCAGCGCACACCTTGTTTTTGTTGTGGGCATTTATGCTGAGGGTTGCAGCTGACAGCCGACTGGAATACAGGGGGTCAGCTGCAGAACATAAGTTGATGCATGCCCCTGCCGCTAATCACTGGGGGAAAAGGAGCCTGACTGTATTCCGATGGCCTAATTATTCATGTTTCTGTTGCATAATTGCTGCTCACCTGCCATGCTAACACTTTGTTAGTTGCCAAGTGCGTTCTTTGACCACTGCTTTTGTGGCTCTCAAAAGTAGTGCATGGCTTGGTGGCTGGAAATTTCATGAATGCTCCTGCCTCACAAGTCACATGCACCAAATTGCTTGTGTAACATGAACCAGTTTTGCATGTATGCCATCGCCTTCCTAGCATGTTGTGTGCACTGGCATCTCTCAACATTGTACTACGGTTGTTCGAAGAGTCGAGCACTCCACAGGTGGCTGAGGCCACTATCGTTCTTGCTTTGCAGGCAGTAGCAGAGCAGTACTTTCCACATCTGGACGACCAAGCAGGGGTGCCCATCGAAGCAGCAGATACGCTGGGCAATGCTTACACATTTCGCTTTAGGTACGAATTGCTCACTGTGATCATTCAAGCAGAGGGGGAATGCTGTCGGCACAATAGGCACATACCATAGATCTGCCCTGTGCATTAAAGGAGTGTGTGTGTGTGTGTGTGTGTGCTCTTGCAAAGGTTTTGGATAAACAACCAGAGTCGTATGTACCTCTTGGAGGGTGCCAGCGAGATGCACCAGCGGTATGACTTGAAGGTTGGGGATGTAATGATATTTGCCCACATGCCTGATAGCACCCTAATTGTCGCAGGCAGACCCATGACCGAGGTAAGTATCTGTCCATGACTTTCTGTGAGGCAGAAACAAAACAACGTCAGCTTGACTGCTGATCGCATATCAAACATCTTCACAATGCAGTTTGAGGCAATATGCCCTTGTTGATCATGCCAGCTCTTGACACACCACAGCCTCATCAGATTATGTTGTCAGGACACCATCTACGGATCCAGCGATGACTTCTCCCTTGCATTGCAGCCAACCTCCAGGCTGCAGGCGTCCCATCTCTTGCATCAGACCGCTCACCCAGTGAAGAGCCGCCACTGCAATGTCATGGCATCGCTTTCAACGATACTTGCTGCAGTGAAATGTTGTGGAATGGATTGATTGGATTGTGAAGCACTGACCATGAAGCTCGTCAAGACACATAACCTTATTGCCAGCCATTGCAGACAACCTCCTGAGCTCCATATGTCATGCTGGTTGTTACCTGCCAGGGTTCCTGTGTGTCCTGGACGTTGTTCTGTGGCTACGAGGGGCTTCAACTGATGAAGAGTGCTGAGGGCCTGTCAGACTAGATTTGCTGGCTTCTTAGGGGCGCCATATTGTTGTTTCGCAGGCCGACATCAGAAAACCCCCACTGAGAAGAGTTAACAACCCACAGAGCGGTGTCAAGAGGGACTTGGTAGGCCAATGGACTGCCTCCTCTGACTGTGCGCTGTTCCCGTGGAAGAAGGGAAGTGACACAGGCACTGGGCAAGACATGCACTGGGCAGTCAGCAGAACGTGTGGAGTTGCCCCAGTTTGTCCCTCCGCTTGCATCACATAGTCCATACGTCGCCAGCTCACAAGGAAGGAGATAGGCGTCCGTGGGAGCATGTTATGCAGCTGTGTAGTTAGGATCACATTTGCAGGTGCACTGTGTACTGGAAGTCAATGGATGACTGTTTGCTGCTGGCATTTGGACAGTCAGGGACTGTTGGGCACACCGTGAGGTGACATAGGACAGCTGCTGTGTGTCATGCAGCAAAGACGCACTTCAAAACCGACACCCAAGTCTTCTCAATTCAAAAGAATGCAGAAGCCAAGAATGCAAGGAGGTGGGTTGTGCACTTGGCAGAGCATTGGCAGATACGGCTCTGCGGTGCTGATTGAAAAGCGGGCATTCTGGAACTGGGCTATGGCGGGCCTCAGGAGTGCACGAGTTCAAACCCTCATCCCGCTCAAGCATGTGGTTTGCAGTTCTCCTGTGCAGGCAGCTCTCAGCTGCGATGGCTGCCGTTCATCGCTTGAGGGTGTCCGGAACATGTCCTTGCAGTTTTGTCGACTGCCTGGTTGCTCGATTGGTGCCTATGTAGAAGCGACTGTTCTCATATCAGGCATGCACTGTTTATTCTGCAGCTCTAGAACTGCAGAATGGATTTGACAGCGCTGTCAATGGTGCTGCCTATGTCTGTCGTTTTCTTTCCTTCACCTTCCCGGGGCTCGTCTCAGCCTGCCATAAAACGGTGCATGTAGACAATGTTCACAGGCGCTCAGACCATGGTGCTGTAATGCTGTGTTTCTAATGCAGAAATGCGTTGATTCGCGCAGATTGCGCCCTCTGTAGTTTGCGGGCGGTGCATGAACATTGTGCAACAAGCAGGCATTAGCACAACCGCTCAGCATTTGGTATCTGCACGAAGGGCCCATATTGCAGTCCTGGCCCAGGACACCCAGGGACTGAAGACAACAGTGACGCTTTTGTTCATGGCACAGGTTTGCACACATTGGCAGCTGATGGTACTCCCAACGGGTTCCACCCACCTACAGGCAAGCGTCAACATGCAGCAACCGGACTTGCCGCACTTGGGCAGTAGTCTACGCCATATCGTGTCATTTGACATCTCAAGTCCAATTTGGCAGCAAGTGTCGCATTTAGAGTGACTATGCAATCCGTGATTTGGGGCGAAAGTGGCGAGCCGCTGGACCTCTGAAATCAACCTGCTGGTGCATATTAGACAAGTAAAGAATCGGCCAAAATACACTGTTTCGAACCTTGCAAAAATCGTGTAAAACCGTGTCAAAACGGGCAATAGTCATGCACACTCACTCAATCGTTAATACACGGTTTAGTCTCATTTATCAACGATAAGTAGACGATAAATACACGACTTAACACGACTTCTACACAGTTTTCAATCGTGTGACATGGTACGCGGTTTTTAAAACCGCGTGCTTGCGCCTGTTTCTCACTCGTGTTAAGCGCATTATGCGATGCCCGATTTAGTTCCTTGTTGAAATTCCTGTTTCGTTGCGCCAGAAAGGATTAGACAAATGGCTGTCCAGTCACCGAACCGAAAAACCATGCGCTGCCGCAAGAATTGCTGGTTGTTTTTGTTTTTGTCGTCTGGGTTTTCTTTCCACAGTGACTGCGCCGCACTGCACTTGCAGCACTCAGTCGTACTGGTTTCGTTGTGACAGACGGGGTGTTCCGAGCCATCCCCAACGTGGTTCCGCAGCCGAACGGCAAAATCTTCTCCCAGCACGGGGTTTGGACGGCCACCATCGAGATAGTGGGTATGTAGCATTTCCACCCCAGCAATGCCCGCCAGAAACGTGCGCCAGTGCGTGGAACCCCGACCTTGGGATTGCCGCACTAAGCTTACCTTGCTTGCATTGTCAAAGTGGATGCTCAGCTACCCTTGCACATTGCAGGTCACGATGCGCGCATTCTGCGACCTCGCAATTTCTCCCAAAGCCGTCCATTCGCTAAATGGCAGTTTTTTTTCCTTTTTTTCTTTTTTTACTTTTTGCGGATGTGTTGCATCCCATCAGCTCAGTTGCCGACGTCCGTTTTGCCGCACAGGTTTTCTGACGCGGGCGCCATACGTCACCCAATGGTCCAATGGGAGGATCCCCCCTGTTGCATTCAATCGCATTGTCAAACGCACTTCGCGAACATTGCTGCATGCAGCCACACCCCCGTTTGATGCAGTGAAAGGTGGCTTCCCACGGACACTGGCTGTCTGTTTTCAGGGGAAATGTACCAAGCGTACTTCGACTCGCAAGAAGACGCCTTGGAGGCTTTCAACGCGGCGGGCTATGGGTAGGCGGCGCGAGAGCGAAGAGACAGCACACATCCTTACGGCGGCAGGGTTGCCACACACAGCCATAGGGCAGACGGTTCGGAAAAGGGAGTGCATCGAGACAGCCGGGCCTGCAGGCGGTTCTGTACGGCGTCAGTCACTCACGTCGATCAAACACGCCGGGTGCAGTCGAGACAGGCCCCAGGGGCAACATTTACCTCCGCGCAGATTCTGCCCTGCTTGTCGGCGGGCGGATTCTCTGTGATTGGAGGTTGCTTTTGTGACCCGCAACGCGCCAAGGGAGATTTGGTTCGGGAGGTGCGGTGGGCGACAAGACGGCAAGAGGCGACGTTGGGTGCATGGAGACATTGTACGAGTATTATCGTGAACTGCGTTATTTGTGGGTAGTGAGGGGCAAGGAGGTGTGTGGGGAAGGGGGCGCGGACTGTACGTTAGTCAGCGATCACTGTAAAGGCATTCGACAGCACTGCGGAGAGCACCTACGGTGGATGGCCATTGTTGCATTCCCGTCGTTTGTACCAGCTGCTGCTGACCCCGCTCGCCGTTTTGGTGAAGGCAGGCGCTTGCTGCGTGGGGAATGCACTTTTGCACTTTTGGTATTTCTAGCCAATCTTTTCGCCTTTTCCAGGAATGGATTTCCGTCACTCTCTTTGTACACTTTTTGGGGTCAAAGGTGCAAACTATGTCAGCACCCATGACCTCATGTGGGCACCCCCCGCTTTGTTTCGCTTCGTTTGGGGACATATCCGCGTGCGCGCTCATCCTGTAAAAGGGGTAAATAATATAAGGTATACAATAATATAATAATATGAGGTATAACGTATACAAGGTGCTAATATGGGGTAAAATACGGAAAGACTGCGGAAAACACGGAAGATACTGAAACTATGGAAATAAAAAATGTGGAGAATATGGGCAAACTACGATACACGATACATATCCAAGTCCCCGTTTCGCTGCAACTTTAGGTCCAGCTCGGCTTCGCCCCGGGCCTGCCCACGCGGGCGCACTCGACGCCGGGCAGCGGCCGTCCGGGCCACCTCCTGGCGATCCAGGATCTACCGCCGCCGCCGCTGCCCCCACATTCTCCCTCCGCCCTCAGGAGACCGCCAATAAATCCCTCCGCGCGGCCGCTTGCCCTCGATGTTCCAGCCGGACGCTTTCCAAAGATCGCGGGGCCAGCCCCCCGGGCGGAGATACTTCGGCGGCGGGAACAATTTCGGCCGGGACCTCCGCGACGACGAAGATCGAGACGCCTGGGGTGGCGGCATTAGCCGGGGGTGGGCCAGATCCAATCCCAGGGATGAGTACGATTATCGCGGGGGTGGCGATTATCGCGGCGGATACCGCGGAGGGCGCGGGGGATACGGCGGCGGGTATCGGAGACGGGGATATGGGCGGGACAGGGGTCATGATGATGATGATGATGATGATGACGATGGGTGGGGGGACGGAGGGTGGCGGTACTCGAGGCAGAAGCGGCGGAACGACTACTGGCGGGACGACGGGGAAGAGTTTTGGGACCGCGGGGGCTACAGGGGTAGAGGGAGAGGTGGGTAAGATTTGTTACAAATCAAAGGAAACATGTCATACAATGGGCACCCCTTTCCGAAGCAAATGTGGCTCTTTTCCATGCTGTAACATGATGGTATAGAGCCCTTCCCAATGGCAAGAATCGCACAAGAACTGCATCGCGAAGAGGGAGAGGTGAGTGGACGGGGCGATCAGTCGGTCGATCGAAAATGCTGTCAAATTGTGGCCCAACGACGGGAGTTGGGGTCTGCCTGTGTTGCTGTTGAACGTGGGCAACCTGGGATGAGGTCAGCTGATGGCGTTGGTCCGCACACCACAAAGCACTGCCTTTGGACCAGCCTGCAGGTGACAGCAGGAATCATGCCCGTTTGTTTGCCTCCATGTCACCACCCAGGCAGGGGTGTGCAGAGCTGGGCAGTGCTTGCCAGGCAGCAGGGTGTGGGCATCGCAGACTGGCGTGTAATGCCTGCCCCCCCCCTTGCTAGAGTCGGCACAAGTGCGATTCTGCCTGCAACACGCAAGGGGAAGTTGCAATGCCATGGGGCGCCTGCATCATGGGCAGAATGTGCTGTTGTAGATGAAGAATGTCTCTTGGTGCAGCTTCAATAGAATGCAACAAAGTCTAGGTGGGAGTGCTGGGTTGGCTTGGGTGGTTGTGAAGATCGGCGGTGGGAGGATGTGGCGCAATTGTGGCCCATTGTGCATCCACCTATTGAAAAGAATGTGCTTACAGGCGTGCATTGCCAGAAAAATGCTGGTTTGGTGTTCTTTTAGGCCAACCAGGGTAGGGTACCCAGCGTGAGCAATGAATTTCAATGTGTTTGAGTCTGGCTTTGATCAACGACTCTACACATAAGGTGGGTTATGGGTAGGAATGCACAAATCATCAACACAGACATTTGTCCATTCCTGGGATACTGCCAGTGTATTGAAGCATCAGTGCACTGCACTGCAGGCTATGCTAGGAATTACTACCAACACGATGACAGGGACAACTGCAGAGGCAGGGGTGGAGCCTATCAGCGTGGTAGGCCACGCAATTACGATGGTCCACGGCGCAGATGGCAAAAGACTGCCACTTCCAGAGTTCCAGCCGGTGCTGCTAAGGATGTGTGCCTGCTGACCACTCTTCCAGGCCATGCCAAGGCGAGATAGGATTCCCAACTGCTGCAGACAACTGCGGAAGCGACAATCAGTATATGGGTTAAGTTTAAGTGTTGGGAAAAGGCAGGGGTTTCTGGGTTTCTAGTATGCAGTGGAAATGCTGTTTGATTGTTTGTGCTATTTCAGGGCCAAACATTGCTCACGCGCCTTTCAGGTAATGTTTGGTGTTATGTGGAGTGTCTGGTTGCGGCACAAGCAGCATCTTCAGTAAAGGAGAAGGCACCACTGTGTGAGTTCCATTGATTACGCTTGTGAACACCAGATGACAATGCAAGGACCTCGAACCTGGGGAGGCGATGACGTGCCCACTTAGTGCATTGACGAAAACAAATGAGCTGATCCGCACCCAATCAGTGTACTTTTGGCATTTGCTGGCCTTCCTTTGCAGACCTACTACGATGTTCTGCGTCCGTTGAGTCCCTGGGAACAGTCGTGCCTGCTGCTGCGAGACTCACGAAGCTGCTGGTTCTGCACAGGCAGTGACGGCAGTTGCTTTCGACGAGGGCAGCGGAAGGGTAGGGTGGCTGCGTGGCTTCTGAGAGTCTGTCAATATACCTCTAGCTGCTGTGCCTTATCCCGAGTTTTAATGATAATCGAGATGAACAGGGGTATCCCTTGTGCTGCACGTGGAGTCCCCGCAGCAAGGGGAGTTGCGTATCGGGTGGCTCTTAATGTGGCTGCCAGAATGGTGCTCAAGAATGCAGTCCCTATATGGACAGCGTTTGAATTCTTTTATGCGATTCAAATTTGCTCCATTTCCATTTGTTGCTTTTGTTCTTAACTCCTGTACTTGTGTCGACCAGCTCTTCACTGCTTCCAAAGATGGGACCGTAAGGCTCTGGAGTGCTGACAGTGGAGAGGTGGGTGACTTGTCCCTCCATCGAACTGTTGGGAATGGCTGCGAGTACAGTCGTGAATGCATCTCTTCCTAATTGCTTCCTAATTCGCATTCAACTTCCCCGTTTTTTCAGTAGTAAATTCCCATTGAATGCAGTTGCTGTAGGCTCACATGGTCTAAAATTGCGCCTTCGAGGTGAGTCCATGAAGACTCGCCTTGAGGGCGCAAGTTTATCACTTGTCTACTTACGCATGTGAAGAAATAGCTCAGTAGGAAGAATATAAATGACAAAAAATAAATACGCTTCCGCTGTCCAAGAATAATTGTCGTCTTTTTGAAAGACAAAATTGGTTATGAGGACGGCTGTAAAATTAACAAACAAGTTCAAAATCGGGAAGGTTGGGTCCCAAAACCCTTAATTACCAATTTCGAGAAGAAAAAGTGAGACACAACCCCTTTGAGCGTTAGGCGAAAGGTAAATTCTGGTCACTTTTGACCCTAAATATCGAGGGTCTACTGGGTAAAAAGACTCTTGATACAATGTACTGCCAAGTGCTCAATACTTGATGGATTGACTTGAAATTTGATGGTATGCTCCAAACTTACAAGCACAACTTTGGGTGAAATTTCGTTGCAAGCTGATGTTGGTGCGATGGAGAAGTAATGCCCAAAGTCATAGACGACAATGAATACCAGACAGAGAAGTAACAATAGAGGGCGAAGACCAGTGGAAAAAGAGTACATGATGAAACTATGACAACAGCAGCACGCAGTGCTCCCTGTCTGCATTTGTCCAGGGCTGACTTGACTTGACTTGACCCAGTGTGCCAATCACATCACCTGGACAACGCATGGAAGTGTGTCTGCCTGTGCACATCCTTCAATTGGTGTTTGCGAGCACATTGCCCCTTGGCACAACTGCCTGTGGTACAGATGCATTATGGACACAAACAATGGCAATGATGCCCCATGCTTTGCACCAATTTGTTGCAATGTGCCTGCCAGGTGGGGCACCAGGATAGAGTCTTTGTCTTTTAGAACCTGTGAGCAGCTGTCCAGAAGTCTGGTAGCCAAGGGAGCCTTGTGTGTCACGTTCCACAATGGTTGCATTGCCAGTGCGCACTGCAACACACACAGCTTGCAGTGTACTAATGACACCATGCACAATGGCGCACAGCGCAGCGCTCAACTGGAGTCGCATGTGAGGTCACAGGTTTACGTATCCTGCATTATTTTTATGCCTATGATGCAAGCACCCCAGTGCAGAATGGGGAAATGGTTGCCAAGGAATTCTGGCTGTCTGGACAAGGTTCCTGCCAAATTGTAATCTCTGTTGGCCCCCCTGTACATTTTGGTGGCTCTGCCATGCTGCTGTGGTTGATGGAGATGTGTGACTCAAGCCACGGAAGCTGCTGTGCACGCAGTGTCAGAGCACTGTGAAGATTGGCGGAGAGGTTGATGTCCTGCTCCTTGCAAGCAGGTTTCTGTTCATAGGGATGCATGGCCCAGACAGCTCGAAGGGCGGGGATGTGGGCTCGGTCCGTGTTTTCAACCTGGCCTCCAACTCTGAACAGTCGATCGTGGCCCACGAAGTGAGTATGAAATGTTAATGTCATGATGCATGCGAACACGATGCGTGTATCCTCATTCATTGTATCCATCGAAATGTATCTCGCTAGAGCAGATCCATCTGCAGGGCTGCCATGCAGCAGCGGACTTTGCTGCCAATACAGGATTGTACGAGGATTTTCAGTTCTTCTCATCACTCTTGCTCAGTTACATAATCTCTCACTCTGGTCTATCTGCCACAGAGGCGGTTCCGCTGCACATCTGTATTTTGCTTCAGTACTTGCTGGTCCTAGCTATGCGAATTGCTAGGCTGTCAATGCACTGCACCTCGGGACAGAAGCTTCAAGTAATAGGGATACTTCAGCCATGCGAAACTGTGTCATGTGCCGCTGGCATTTGTTCTCGCCAGCTTGAGGTGCATATCGTCGACTTTGAGTCATGCATCAGGCACTAAGGACAGGTGCAGTTTAGGGATGTACCTGGGCTGTAAAAACTGGGTCCGGGTATCTAGAGTTTCCGCAAGCTAGGTAATCGCATTGAAAAGAGAGCTTGTTGCCGCCTCCCCACAGCATTCTTGGAGAGACGCCTCTCTTTCCCGTGCATAGCGACAAGGCGCGACTTGTAGCTAGCATCACAATTCTCTTGCATGCGTTTGAAATTCTTCGTTATCAAGCTGGCCTCTCGTCCTGAGGCTATCAATGGCTTTTCCAGGCACTGTTTTTCGACCTACATCTCATTGATTTTCTCTTTCATAATACTAACCAGTTTAATACAATATTCATGTGGGTTTCGATTTTCTTCCCCTTCATTCGTTGCGTTGCTGTTCCTTTCCCACCTCGCCCTCCCCCCCTTGCAGGTATCCTCAGGGCTAGCCGTGAACGACTGAACCTAGTAGTTACCCAAGCGCACTCAGTACCGGCATACAATTATTGGCTGCACCAAATCGGTGACTTTCTGCACTAAATCGGTGACTGCTTGCACCGACTCCCTCCAACACTTACCTAACCTAAAACCTAGACCTAAACCTGCCCTAACCCTAACCCTAACCCTAAAACTCACCCTAAAACTAAACATAACCCTAAACTGAGGTTAGGACACAGTGTGCACGTGATTTGGTGCAAGCAATCACCGATTTGGTGCAGGCAGTAATATTGTTTCCTCAGTACCCGGATAATTGCGAATACGCGGGTACCCGGGTAACGGCTAGTACCCTGGTTCGGGTATGTACCCGGGTAAAGAGAGATTCTCCCTAGCGCCAACCGTGGGGCGTTGGCCAGCCCCGCTCGACAACCCTTCGCTGGGTGCCCTCTGAGGGAGTCCGTGACGACGACGACGCAGCTCGTCTGACGTTCGCTACTGTGAACAGCGCGTTTGGAGCAACAGCCCAGAAAGGGCTGGACGCCTTTGGCCAGCGATCGCGTTGGCCGATCGCGATCCAGAATCAGAGACGCCAGAATCGTCAGACGACAACAGCCACACCGAAAGCCACAACGACAACGACAGAAAACAACACCACACACACAGGACAACCGCCAGAACTGCGACAGCACAGCTGCACAAGAACGCCCAAAAGGAGACGCAGCTCCAGCGAGCTCATGCTGTTGGGCGCGTCCTGCCGCGGGCGATCGCGAACGCAGCCACGCACAGTGTGGACGGGATGCCCTTCGCGGAAACCAACGCGGGCACAAACTAAGCGCATCGGTCAACCGCTGGTTAAACGTGCAGTACCCGGGTATCCGCCCGTACCCGCGTGTACCAGGGTACATACGCGGACCCGCGTAGCCGGGTACAGTGTTTCAGGGTACAGTAGGAGTCCCCCGCCTGGCCCCGCCCGTGACATGGCCAAAAGGGGGGCGCTATTGGGGGCCGGGGGCGCTATTGTGTCAAGGGGATACTCTGAGCAACCGGAGTAAAGGGTACCCTGGCCGCCAGTGTAGGGAGTACCCTAAACTGCCAGTGTAGGGGGTACCATGGCTGCCGGTGTAGGGGGTACCCTGGCGGCCAGTATAGGGTGTACCCTGGCCGCCAGTAGGGGATACCCTAACCGCCTGTGTACGGGTTACCTTGACCGCTAGTGTGGGGGGTACGCTAACCCCAGCCTACTGGGTCCATACCGGCTTTTGGGGCCAGCGACCGTCGCGGCGCCCAAGTCGCAGTGAAACAAAGGACTATGGGAACAGTGACGAGCTGTAAAGGGAGTCGCTAAATTAGACAGGTCGCTAAATAGGGGTCGCTAAACCAGACCCCTGTACTAGTTTGAGGTTCCACTGCGCAACAAAGCTGCATAAAGTACTACATAAATGGTGACATGCCAAAAAAAGGGGCGCTATTGGGGGGGCACTATATAGGGACCCCTACTGTACCCTGAAAAACTGTACCTGGGTAGGCGGGTACAAGAAAAGCGCTGTACCCCCCGGAGTACCCGGTTTTCCTGGTACCTGGGTACCATCCCTAGTGCAGATGACTGCATTTCCTCACACAAGCCAGACGAGGTCTGTTGCGCCTTGAAAGCGAAGCAGCGTGGATCGCCAATTGAAGTGAGGGGCACATGCACATCCACAGCGTCTGGCTCATTCCCTGTTCTTTCTTGCCTGCACAGTTCGAATTGTAGATTGAATCTTTGTTGGATCGATGTTTTTTCCTGTCATTTTTCTGAAGTATCCATCGGATTTTCGCCACAGGGTCCTGTGCTGTGTCTGCACGGCGTCGACGAGTTCCTGTTCAGTGGTGGCCAGGACTGCGACATCAAAGCCTTCAAGTACAACACGCAGACATTGCTTTTCGAATCTGTGGTATGCATTGCGCGCGCAAACAGTGTGGATGGAGGTTGTACCCATCTATTGGCTTGGTGGAGCATGGGCGGTGCTTGGTCATGTCTTGACCAATGCAATCGAAGGGATTGGTTCACAGAGTCCCAAATTGCAATACCCAAATTTGGGTTCGTGGATTTCAAGGTTTGTGTTGACATGGGGTGTGGCATATCTTCTGCAGGGCGTTTTGTCAAGGGCACAAAATGGCCACTCTGCGCCTGTTACAGCCATGACATCGATTCCACCCACTTACCTTTTCTCAGGAGACAGGCAGGGCAATATCAAGGTATGCACTGGAGCTACATGCAGATCCCACACAACCTTGGTGGCTTGCTCGCTCTTGCATTGATTGTACACATTGTGCTTGTGGTTGAGAAATCATTGTCCAGACCATCCCCACGTATTCCAAAATGAGGAGAACAAAAGGCTTCTTTGAAGGAAGATTATGGAAGGAAGAAAATTGACAACGTGGCAAACAATTGTTTGCACTGAGTCGTTGCTCCCTGTCAGGCTAAATTTTTGACCTCCTGCTTGTGGCTCTCACTAGGGTTACTGATGAGTGGACTACTGACTGGCATCCTTGGATCGAACCGTTCCTGCTTCAATGTGTCGACTGCAAGTATTACGGTGGTGCTGCAACTGAGGGCTGTGAATTCGATCCCATGTGGCCAAAGTACTTCAGTTCTTTGGTGTATCAGTGATTTCAAACAAGTTCCATGTCGTAGACGGTGAACAAGGCTCAGCATTTTATGCCCAGGATTTCGTGTCTAGTGCACACAGCTTCCAGCAAAGGTAGAATTTCTGTTGTTGGCCATGGTGCAATTTTGAGCTGTGCGGATGGCTGTGCAAAAGGTGTGGAGCCTGGATGTTGGCAGCTGCTCACAGACGCTGGAGAGGGCGCACTGCAAGGCGATCATGAGCATGATCGTGTGGCAGGGCGTGCTGATCAGCGGTGCATTGGATGGGGCCATCAAGGTCTGGACGCAGAGGAAGGCCAGTAACACCGGGCTTGTCCTGGATACTGCTCCCAACTATGAGCACCAAAGACAGGTGAGCCTATGCTGATGATACTCATTGGGAGAATTCAGGATAGAGCAAGATACATTCACCATTGGAGGGCTGGCTCCCATTCATGGAGCATGTAGCCCATTGTGCTGTCGAAATATGCTTGTAGCATTGCTGCACTTTTGTCTTTGGCTCTGCATTCATGTCAGCGGAATGGAAGGACCACCGGCGTTGGGTATGCTAATGTGTTTGGGTGTTCATCTGGATGACAAAGGGCGCCTTCGGTGGAGAGGCGCCAGGCGTGCTGTCTATGTGTGGTACACCGGACGGAAAGAAAAAAGCAGTGCTCATGGTGGGCCGAACGAACGGCCTTGTCGCCCTGTACGACCTGCCAGAGTTCAGAGAGCGAGGGATCTTGCCTGAGGTGCGTTGCAGACGGTGAAATGGCTGTTGCTGTCCACCTCGAATCTTGCTCCATTCAAGTCAGCTCTCCTGTCTGTAGCTGCGAATCAGGGATTGAGCTCTGAGACCAACCTGTCATCGCAGCATTTGGCACTGCTGTACGTAACAACCAGCAGCACGAGCTGTTGTTGCTCTTGCCAGCAGCGATGGTCGTGGACGCCATGGTCAGCAAATGGGCTTCAGTACAGGGGCAGATTCGTGAACATCACACTAAGCCCTTACCCTGTTATGAGTTGCTGTCCTGTTGCAGCCCTTAAGGCAAACAAATGACCACCCAAGTCATGCAGCTATGCAGACACTTCGGTTCAGAAGTTCCTATCACAGCCTGTCTTTTTACTGGCCACAATGTCGATGTGTTGGTTCAACAATCCACTTTGCAGCCTAAAGTATGCAAGGGAGTCCTAGCAGCTGGGCTTCATGCTTTGATGCGACCTGATAAATGGCGCATCCAATCATTATCAGCTAGCTGTTCCATCCCGAGCTTGTGAGCGCTGTCTGACATGGATTCAGATTGTGTCGGCCGCCTGTTTGTGAGTACAGCCTCATTCGCACCTATGCCCACCTCCTTCATGCAAAAACCTGAAGTCCCAGTTGTCAGCGAGAATCAACGAGCATCGTTTGGCGCTGCAATCTGCAGCGTGGACAGTAGGAGCTAGGCGTCGGCCTCAGCACATCGATTAAATTGCTGTAAATATCCGCCAAAGAATCTGTGCTGAGCAAGCACCCCCCCCTGACTGCTAATCTGGAAGCAGTACAATGGATTATGGTCCTGTGTCAGTGTTGTGGCACCCAACAGGCTGCAACCATCACTCTGGGATCAGCTAAAAACGGGAAATCTCAGTCATGAAAATGAGAGCCATTATTTCAAATTGCTTCCAAGTTGTCGTCGCAGAAGTGATTGCATGCTTTTGAACCCCACCCCACCCCCAGAATACAAAATGCATGCAGATGTGTTCCTGCCATCTTGCATTTGTAGCATGACCTTTGTGGTGAGTTCGAGGTGGCCAGCATGACCCCAGGATTTCGTTGCCTAAGCAATCTAACTGCCACCCTGACTAAGGTTTTACTGGACACTTACCTTGTTTGCCACGAGCACAAGGTACCCCCCTACCCCCCCAACCACCACCATCACCAGCCCACCACCATTGCATAAGTCCTTGGGCATTGCACAGAGATGTTCGTTTCGGAAGAACTGGGCCGGTGTCAGAGGACTTGTGAAATGGTTGAAATTTATTCACCAGAATTTTGGGGACAGTTTTTGCACATCTCTTGAATTGGAAGATCGTCAATTGTGTCTTGTTGCCCGCACAGATTCACCAACCACGCGCGCTCGGAACAGGTCCGAGCGGCCTCATGTTCACGGGAGACAAGGGCGGCCGGGGTGTGAAGATCTGGCAGTGGGATGGGGACTGGGATGACGAGCCACAAGACGGGAATGGGCAGACTGGAATGGCCGACGCCCCGATTGTGCTTTGACTGATGGCAATTGGCTGGAATTGAATGCGGTGGATGCGCAGCGCAATCGGCACTCGGCCTCATGTCTCGTTGCTCTGGACCACAGAAGTGCTGAATCGCATGCTTCAATGAATTGCACAGCGGCACGCTGAATGGCAGCTTCTACAGATTGGAGTCCTGGCTGTGTGGTGACGTCTGTGGGGTGCCGACTTTTCTGGGTGCCTGCAGAAGGCATCTGGTGATCCGGCACACTCCCATTGCCCCACTGCATCAATGCTGGGCATCTCGTTCTGTGGTGCAATGTGCCGGTTGCATGATGACCCATGTCGTTATCGAGCTGTCGGTCGAGCCCTTGTTTGCGACCTAGGTCGCCAGCGAATGGCGATTGAGCACGACTCGCCTCCAAATGCACGCAACAGAAGTGGGACACATGAGGGCCCTCGTCCACAAAACACCTGAGCAATGCTGGTGGAGCACAACGGAATGTTGTCGCGCTAGTGCAGCATGCTCTGTGGTCGGCGTGGAACACTCCTTGAGCCCAAACGTCTGTTGTGAATGGAATGTCCACTCGGGGCCACAAGGGTTCTCCGGCATGGGCACAGGCAGGCAGCGACGTGCACTGGGTGGGAATGGGGAATATATTAGTCCACGCTCCTTTTCCTTGAAGATCCCTTCTTCTTCTGGCCACAAGGCCACCGTGGTTTAGTGGGTAGTGGTTTTAGTGTTGAGGCTGTCGAAACAAGAATCGACAATCGCAAAACATACAGACGGACAACTTTCATGCCGTAGAAATGTCGTGCCCTTGCATTGCTGGGGAAGTTGCTGGGGAAGTCTAGGGACTTGCGTGAAGTCGCTATTGTGTTGGAAGTGCCACTGGTGGCTGTGAGGGTGACGTGTAAAAGTGCCAATGCATTGGCCACCATATGGTGGGCCGGCGTCCTCATTTGACGTTGATTTTGGTGCTTGTCGATGGGTTGGCTGCTTGGCTGGTGTTGATTTGTGCTTGCCGAGAGCCGGCAATTCATTTGGCTCGGAGGTGCTTCCGGTCAATCTTTGGCGTGCCAGGATTCGACAATGGCAACGTATTGGTGGACAATCCGCCATCGCCCTGTGGCCAATTCGCGGGAGGATGATGCAGAGACTGGGCGCGTGGGAAATCTTCCCAGCATGTGCCCAGAGGGCGGCATGTGAGGTCGTGGGATCGGCCAGACCGACGATTTGCGTGGGCATGTGTGTTTTGATGGCGCACAAATCAAAAATCGGCCAAAATACACTGTTTCAAACGATATTAGAATCGTGTAAAACCGTGTGAAATTCATGTACACTCATTCAATCGTTGCTACACGATTTGGTTCCATTTTGTACGGTAGACACACGATTTTTACACGATTTCAATCGTGTTAGGGAAGACGCTATGTCGACGTTGGTACGCTTAGCGTCAATTTGAGGTTAAGCCAGCCACCCACTCCCCATCCCTAGCGTCAAATCCTGGTGTCGATGCTAGGATGACTCAGCAACCTTACATAACAGAGCTAGACAATTTCAAAGTGTTTTCGAAGAACGTAAACGGGCAAAATTGTAGCGATTGTAATGCGCTGAAAAACGGGATAATAAATGCCATTTCAGGTGATTGGGGCAGCCCTGATGGCTATCTACTGGGGGTATTTTGGAGTCCTATTTTAAGTTTGAACGTTTGAAGCGGGTTTTGGAACAAGTCACGAGACGTCTGCCTTGGAACAACGGCGTGCTGTGCATCTTCAGACATTTTGTCAAAATTGTGTCAATTACATAATCTCAGCGTCACAGGTTCAAACCCCAACCCCCCCCCCCAACCCCGCTATTCGTCAAATTGACGCTAAGCGCACCGCTTTCGACATAGCGCCTTCCCTTACTCGGTATATGATTTTCAAAAACCGCGATTTTCAAAAATTTCAACCCCCGATTTTCAAAAAGACGCATTTTGGCCTGTTGTTTACTAGTGTGGCCGCAGCTTCGTGGGACTCCCACTCCTCCCACAGGCAGGTTGTATAATCCATAATAATAATTAATATTCGTAATTTTTTTAATATTAATATTGATGTCTGCTTCCTGACCGACGCTCCCGTCATTTTGCACATGCAACGATGCCAAACAACGTGCCGTCAGCAATCACCTTGACAAACATCTGCGGCCAGGTCATTGCTGTTGCCGCCACGAGAAGTATCTCAACGTGCTTGAAGCATGGTGCCTCTGCCCGCCAATTTCCCATCCGCTGCAGCTGACGAGGGGTGATGCCACCAGGGTGGGGGTGGGGTGGGGTGGGTGGAGGGGATGGACGTCAATTACGTGTGCCTAGTTCCTATCCCCTTTCAGCGTTCCTTGCCGCTTGAGGTACTTGTAAGTCCGGAAAGCGAAATTATTCAAACACTGTCGTCAACAGTATCAGAAGGTCACCAATATCGCATTCTCCACAACAACGTACAGAGGGGCCCAGTTTCGAATGTCCCATTCATGACATCTTCCTGAGCCGTGATGAAACATGCCGGGAGGGCTGCGTCACGCAAGCCGTTACCTCCACCGCGAGACTGCTCCTGTTGTCGAGCGCGTTGCTCGCTTTAAATTAAATCGACAACAAAGTTAAGATATTGAGCCATCCAAACGCACATTTCCCGACACATGCACAGGCCGCCTCAGATAGCTACCGCGTCCTCCCAACGCCGTGGAACATTCACTGCCATGCAGTCCTCCGTGCAGGCCCACCACTCCGACCGGCCTTTGTTGCGCTGCTGCCGGCAACGAGAAAAGTGGTCCAGGGAACTAGCTTACGGCTCCCAGCCTTGCGGCACTTCTTTTCTTAAGATGCGGTCGGCGCGCTTCACATGGCAAGCACCAGATTGTCGATTACGTCTTCGTCGAGGTCCCGGGCAGAGGGCCCAAATGCCGCATTGGGTCCGAAAGCAAACTCAGGCCCGCTTGCGCTTGGCCCGGGCGCCACACCAGGGGCGGCAGCGACTGATGTAAGGGATGGTTTCGGCAGGTCTAGGAGCACGGGAGCGGGAGTTGTCTCGGCCGCCGCCGGATCTGCTATTGTTTCCTTTTCGACGGACTCTCCTTCGCAGCTGCCCTCACCGTTGAAGGACCCTGCGGACATGCGCAAATAGGCAATTGCAGCAGAGTAGAGTGTGTGTGCTTTGAAAACAGAGCTGTTTCTCTGGCTCTAGAGTGTCCACATAACCATACGCCAGGAGAATCTACTGGTGTTCCCCGTTTCGCGGAAAGCGATGTAAGTCTGAGAGCTTTCCAGTGCTTTGTGGCACCACTCTTTTGCACCCCTGGCAAAATATATACTTTGCACTGCGCATCTCTTCTCGGTCCACAGGTCCAATTTGCTGGCCACGCTTGTCCGCTTGAAGAAGCAGTGCTGTCAGCATGCGCACCGCCTTAAGTCGCGGCAAACCAGCTGCCCGGCGTGCGCCACGTGCTCAAGCGGACGAAACTGCAGAGTCGCAATCGCAACTCTGCCATTCCAAATGTGGTCTTAATCGCATACCCACCGATTGCTGTGGGCTTCTTGTTTGCAGCAAGGTTCACAACATCGTGGAAACATGTGCGCAGGTGTTTAGGGAGGACCGTTCCTTCTGCTGTCATTCATGCAGCCGATTGGGCATGCAGATGCACAGACTCGCACACTTGCACGGGATGAGATTGGCACTGTAGGCGTGCTTGCTGCAGCAAACGGAGGCATGAGATGCACAGCATTGTGGACTCACAGGTGCGCGCAGCCGTGGCATCACCTGTTCCAGTGAAGGTCCCATCTCCGTCGAACCGCCCATCGGCCTCCATGCTGCCGTTGCCGTCCATGGTACCGCTTCCCTGCAAAGGTGCCACCAGCAGATGGTCATCGCTCTGCCGCAAAAGCGTGGATTGGGGCAGCTGGACCTGTCGGGGTTGCGGGACTTGAGGGTTTGGCGGAACTGGTGGGTTTGGGGGAGAGCAACCCGAGGGTTCCCGATACGTCGGAAGAATGTAATTCAATACAACCTCCGTCTCAAAAGTCGTGACCGATCTCGAATTTGGGCAAACAGAGGTCAAAGCGTGTAAGTCAGGGAACTGATTGAAGCAACTTATGCTTGTAGAGCCCTCAAACGTTCCAAATGGTGCTGCCGTTCTTTGTGATATGCCAAGAAGAGCTGAAACGCGACTTTGCATTTTCCCCGGGCGTTAGTTTGGGTACCGCATGTCTGTTTCGCCCTTTTGAAGAGGTGCTCTTTGGTGTTTGGCGTGTGCTAAAGATTCGGCTTGGTCCCCGAACAAAATATGCAATGAAAAGGATTGGAGATCGTAGCAAAATTTGGGGTGCTAACAACAACTTCGTGGGAGCGATGGCCAAAGGCCAAGAGACACCTCGATAAGTGTAAGAGCACCTATCTTGCGTTGTCGCTAAGGTTCGGAAGGCCGTACATAGTTGCGCCAACAAAAGAAGCGCCCTAGACTGAAGCAAACAAGGCCAACTGTTGAAAGCAAGAATTTCGGCAGCACGATTCAGCATACTGGAAAAGATGACCTCCAGAAAGTATGATAATGATGATATCAACATGCTAAAACTATGTAGTAGTGCCTATTGGTTGTATACAATAAGGTTCTCAGTGAATTTGGGGAATTGAATGGGGAGATATGACCAATGCAACGATGCGGGGAATTGAACAGGAGCATTTTGAATAATGCTGTAAATGTCCTGTTGTGTGGTGATGACAAATATAGTAAAAAACACATTAACCTAAAATCAAGCAAGGAATCCAAATATTGTGGCAGGTCGACTGGTTGAGCTGGCCTTGCCAAGTTTTAAAACGAATTCAAGATCATACACGACTTTTGAGAGGGAGGTATTGCATCGGAACCACAGAGCTCAACTTGAGGGTGCTTCGTTTCAGCTTCCTCGGTGCCGTACTATGGCAGCCATAGCGACAGTGCAAGGGATCCCAAATTGATTGCAGTCGCACCAACAGCATCGCGTGGCGCTACCGCATGTTGGGGTTTTATTTGTGTGTACATAATTTGATTGTAGGCGCAATCGCAATGGGACATCCCATTTCAAGACAGCCCTGAGTGCACTGTCCAAAAGTCAGGCAACAAACAGAGGTGTTCATCAACCATAACCGTGTACGATTGTATGCTCGCTCCGCGTCCAGACTGCTCCAGGGGTAGAGTTTGGCACTGCAGTGTTTTCGCTGCTACAACAGAGCCCTGGGCGGAGCACCCATTCCTGCGCTCGTCAGGCAGTTCCTGGGGTAAATTACCCAGGAAGGCCCCAAACGTCTCGCGACCGTGCTGGATCAATAACGCATTTCGAAACAGAAGAAAACAGCCACAATTCACAGAACGCCACAGTAGTTTGTCATAGTCATGAACTTTTGCATAACAAGGCAAGGAAGTTAGTGTCAGCTTAAGCATCACATCATGTCATAGGAAGCTTCCTATGACAAAACATCTTTCTCCTCGGAATTGTCACGTATACTCACCAGCAAGTTTCCATCTCCGTCGCAGTCGAACTCTCCCATTACGATGACATCGCCATCGATTCCACCGTCCCCAAAGAGCTGGCCCTGGCCTGTCAGAGTGACGTCTGCGTCCAGTGAAAAGAACTCCACCGGGCCTGCACCAAATCCATCAAGCCTCAGTTGCAGCCAGGCCATTCCTCAGAACACATAAACGATTGTGACAGGGATGCTGGCACAAGGCGGCCAACAGCACGCAATAGCACGGTTGGAAGTGCGGGTTGTGGCCACATTGCAGCGTACACAATGCAGCGCAGGTATAACTAGCTCCGCGTGTTACACCACTGAAACGAGGGAATCAGTTTATCGAAGCGCTCCGTTCACTTGATTGGCGGACACACCTGTGAGATCGAAGGTACCCGTTAAGTTCTGCATGCACAGCAACACGGACAACATGGTCACGACGCCAAAATCGAGAGAAGACCTCAACAACCAAATGAGTTCATTTGACCCCCCAGCACCCTAATAGGACACGTCTTTAAACTGCGTTTTCCATTGCTATGTTTACGTGACTGTATTCAGTATGCGACAAGACTATTCAGCAGTGTTAAAGCACAATCTATTTACCCGTGAAGTATGCTGAATCAATCCATTCTGGAAGTCTGCCGGCTTCACCTGCGTCTCTTGTTTCTCATGATGCACAGCCACTGACAACAGATCTGCAATGCCCTAGCCATAGGAATGTAGTAGCGAGACCAGTAGGACCCAGGACGAGACACAACACCAGATGTTGAAAACCGCTCCCCTGCAAGGGGGCAATCACACAATGCCATGCATACATCGCGTATCGCCACACGCCACGTGCCAAATCTATAAATAGCAACACCCATAAACTCGGTGGAATCACCGTGCACGGCAAATTAGCAACTGCCATGACAATTTGTCAACATAAAGCTGGTCAACATGGGATAAGATTCGGCGGCTCACCAGCTGTTCGAACTGGGGCTCTGGTTTCGACACTAATTTCAACCAATTTGATTTTCAACTATTGTTAGCTTGCTTGGTTCTGAGAGTTGTTTTTGACTCAAGTTTCAATTACTTTTAGTCTAGCAAAACAAACAGGCCACAATACATGGTTTTCAAATCGCGTACCGCCTAAATCGTGTAATTGATTGAAAATTGATTGAAAATCGTGTAGTAATCGTGTTTCATTGTGTAATTATCGCGTATTTATCGTACAAAAATGGGATCAAGCTGTGTAGTAACAATTGGGTGAGTGTGCACGATTTTTAAACATTTTAACACGGTTTTACGCGAATTTACATGGCTCGGAGCAGTGTCTTTTGGCCGATTCTTTACTAGTGCCAGCTGGATTGGAGCCTTGGTCCATGTGCGGCGTCCATGGTGATTTCATGTGAGGCATTATGTGCATGGGGTCGCTGGGTCATAAATCGGGGAGTTCAGAGCGCTTTGCAGCTCTCTCGAAATACACAATCGCATTGATGCGAAAAAGGTACATCATCCACAGTCATCGTCACAATTTTCTTGGCAAAAAGAAATTGATGACAAGCAATAGCACTTAATACAATACCAATTAAGAAAAAAGTAATAAACCTGTGCAAACTAACATTGGTATTAGATTTTCAACGTTCAAGAGCACAATTTTTAGATCCAGTCGGAATCATCCTAACCAATAGCTCAGTTTTGTTGATTGTCATATAACAGAACACATCGTGCTCCAGGACATCGTTTGGTCCATCTCACCACGGAAAAGGGGCGCCCGCACAGTTTCTTAGCGGCTAGGACACGTCGCGCTACCGCTGTGTGGGGGCCAGTGTCAAGCGAATTGCACAAAATGGGCCAAACACAGAAACCCCCCGTGTCGACCCGGTCACCTCGAAGGTGGCGGCCCCTCCCTCAGGCACCATGTAATTGCCACTCCCTTGGATTACAACGGACGCTCCCTCCTGCGCTTTCATCGTGCTGTTCACTGCAGTGCACATTGCAGTCCCTGCCAGCACCATTGCCCACAACAGTCAGCAAGTCCGCCCAAGGGATCCGGACACCCCGTTGGTGTTGGAGGATCTGGAGACACAAACCCCCCTCCCCCCTTTCCCCCTTCCACGCATACGTGCACGTGCACGTTCCATGGCTATGCGTGCCCCTCTCTCTGCGTGCTCTGGTGTTGCGCGGGGCGACGTCCGCATTACAACTTAGAGCGGGGCGAGGTCTCACGCACCAGTAGAAAACAGCCTGTTGCGATGCCATTTTGACACAAACTGATGCCATCACAGCCGCTTTTATGCCATCGCACTCACTGTGACGGCATCAATTTGTGTCGAAATGGCATCGCAAACATGGGGCTTTCTACCAGTGACGTGAGTACACCTCATGGTGTGCGGTGGATGTCAAAGGGCATGCTATCTTTCCGTCGACGCAGACAATGGGGCAAACTGGCGCCACGAACGCAGATAAAAAAATTCGGCAATTTGGTGAGTTGGCTGTCAGCAATAGCAAACTTTTGTGGACAAAAAACATTTCTTTTTCCGTTTTCTTTTGTTTTGGAACCTGTCTGGTAACGCGGCTTGGTCCATTTCAACGCGGTGTGCATTAGTCACGCACGATTTTCAGCAGCTCAACGCGATT